AGCTTTTCTTTCTGCAGCTGTGCAGCCTCCATGCCACACGTTGATGCTGGCGCACAGGATGTTCTCCATTGCACACCTGTAGAAGGAGGTGAGGACTGAGCTTCCCAGACCAGCTCGTCTCAGCCGTCTGAGGAAGTAGTAGTATGTTGCAGGAATGAATGTGTTTAAAGGGTGAAGCTGCACGCTCTTGATTTAAAATAACTTAAATTTAAACAAAGATAAATTGGGATTTAGACTATGGGTTGTAAGAGGAAAGGTGATTTTTCTGGTCCAACAGGCAAAAGAAAAACAACAATACCATTTGCCCGACTGAAGAAGTCTTTTGGATAATAGACGAAGCATTTCAACAAAGAAGAATCCGTAAAGAGGACCTGACTCAACCTTGTTAAAACACCATTTATCATTTAGGAATGACAAATAGCTTTAATTTTTCTTGACAAAAGCAGTGCACTATTGAAGGAAATCATTTGTGAGAATTTCATGAGATGGATTTATCATAGTAGATAAAAGTGCACCAAAGCCCAGGTTTGTGAGGTGTTTTGCATTGAGAAACAACACAGAGGTGGTAAAAATGTCACAAATCAAAGTGGGTCTCAGGCCCAACTCCACGTTTTTAACAAGATGACCATAAAATACAAAAAGTTTGGAACACGGTCTTCCTCAGTCTTGTGAACCTCTCACAAAAGAAGCATCTTCTTGTTTCTCTGAATTAAACGAGTCTCTTTTAGGCGGCGTCTTGTTCCACACATGACTGTCAAACATGGGACCCTCTGTCCCACCCAATGCTTTTTACTTTGTTTCAATTTAAACCTCATCTTTGTTTCTGTTCGCAGCCAATGGTTTCTTGGTTAAAGATCTTAGCCAGCCTCAAAATAACCGTTTCACAGATTGTAGAAATCCTCTTTGTCTAGCTGAACAGAGCTGATAAGTCCAGACCTATATCTGCTAAAAACACAAACCTGGTTCAGGCACAGAAGAAGACTGGAAGTCAAACAGAGTGTCATGGACAATAAAAACATTTTGTCTGAGTCAATATGGTTTTTATTTTGTGCCTATTTCACAAATCCGTGAGAACAGATTGGATTTTAGTCAATCTGTGTTTCTTTTTTAAGAATCATAAATTAGAAATGTGCTTTAATGTGGGTTTTTTTTTATTTTTATTTTAAGCACAGAACATTTTATTCTTGTCCCTGGTGTTTAAATTTTCTTTATCTCCAGGTTGGGAGTTGGTCTTTCTTAAAAGAGGATTTAAAAAAAAAAAAAACAGATTCAAAAATCCTCAGAGGCCTCCATGCTGCGTATAATCTTCATGGCTGTCCAGAGTGGGGGGTTTCTCTGTTGTTCTTTGGAGAATTTATAACATTTTCCAAACCAATTGCCTTCACCTCACTCCGTTTCTTACTTCCCATTTGTGTTTCCTCCACATGTGGAGCCGACTGCAGGAGACCGAACAGTGAAATGTCATCGAAGGTTCACATGTCGGCTAACTTGTTCCAAATGAGTGTGAAGAATTTCCGAATCCTTGCTCTCCTTATTAAGCAAACATCACTCTGTCAGAGCCGACATCAGAGTGCCCCACATGATCTGATGAATATCTCAAATCAAGCTTTCTGTCAGTACTGATACCTTTTAATTACCAAGACTGTGTATACGCTCTCTGTCATGATAAAATAATTCCCATAAGGAGGCAATTACACATTTATAATTCTTAGCACATGTGAAACTGTCTCACCAGGTTAACAAGTGATGGCTGCTGCTGCACTAAGCATCCTTCACAGCTGCAATCTGCAGGTAAAACACAAAGAAATATGGGATAGCGATAAAAATATGGTCACTATTTTTGGTTTTATGAGTTGAAGATCTTGGACTTATCATAAAGACATCTGGTTCAGATGTTTGCACACTTTGCATGAAATGCTTCAAAGCACAACACGAGATCGAACAACCATCAGGAGAAGAAAGCTGATTGATGTGCTGACCACTCCTGGAGATTTAGGATCATTTTATGAAGCATCTGTCATTTCCCACAAAAAACATAACACTCTAAAGTGTCAGGCACAGGACGTGAGGAAAAAAGATTCACGAGGAAAAAAACAGGTCCTGTTCTGAACATTATTGGATTCTTACTCTTAAATGTTTTAAACTTTAAACAGATTTAATCCTCTTCTTGTGAATGGAGCATAATTTATAAGAAAACCTTATAGCTCTCATTAAAAAATTTGATTTTAGTGCAAAAAATACAATTTTTTTTTTCTGACTGGCATTTTTCGGACAGCAGAAAGGTAGCATTAAATCCTGTGCAGCATAAACTCTATATCATATTTCTTATTTAGTTGCAATTCACTGTACAGTTAATGTGATATTTTAAAAAAGAAAAAAAAAGCTCATAAGAAACATGTACCTTTTATCTTTACACCAGTTTCTCCTCAGATGTGTTTTGTTCTTTGTGTTTCTCAATGCAAACATAAAAACACACACAGTGGAATGATAAAGAGGGTGTTCACCTACAAGAAAAGAGACTCAGGTAATTGCCATAACACAAATAATGAGCAACTTTATGCAGAGAAGTGTTTGAAGAGTGGTCCAGATCAAGATAAGATTGGAAACAGTGTCATGTGAGGGAAGAAGTGTTGTTCTGCAGCTGAGAGGAACCTTCAGTTCCTGTGACGGAGCCAGAGGCTGAAGAGAACTCTGCAGAACCAAAATGAGAACATGGCACGGAAAAGAACTTTAAGTGAGGCACAAATGAAGTCTCTCGTTTGACTCTGTAGAATAGAATAGAATAGAATAGAATAGAATAGAATAGAATAGAATA